AAACACAGACACAAAATACGAAATCCAAGAATACAGGAGTCATTCTGAATGGCAGGAGGGATTCTGAACAGCCATTATATATTTGGGAGGAAAACTAAACCTGCTGGGGTATAAGTAGAGTTGGTACACAGAACCCACAGATAAGAGATGCTTTCAGACACTCCTGCAAAGCTGCTTTCGCAATGTCTGGCAGCCAGCATTAAACACAGGATGACCTGGGGCATACACATCTAAAGTTAACAAACAAGGAACCAAAGCAGCTGTCAGAGGATGCTTTTGTGTACTAGGGAGCCTCCAACACTGCTCAGATAAATTATAGATTACATAATAGTGCCTGGGATGTTTATATAGAAAATAGTTGCATACTCCTGATCCGATTATTCTATATTTCCTTCCAACCCATGCATAGGAAAATCAGTAAATCTCAATGCAACTTAATTTCAGTTATTGAATTTCCTTTCTTCAGGTGAGGGAGGAAGAAAAAGAGAATTCAAAATCCACTGACCTTTCCATTTGTTCTTCCTGTTTATAACAAGCTGCTTCAATAGGTTCTTACTGGAAACAAGCTCAATTCCCTACTAAAAATTTTTTAGGATAACACTAAACATGACATGGGAATACAAATTCACAAGTAACCAGGATGTTGCTGAATTTTTCCATTCTATTAATGATTTAAATTATTTCTGCTGCTTAACTTTTAGAGACCCTAACAGGCTTCATCACCAGATATAGATTGGCAACCTTAATCAAAACAAACTCACTGACAGCACTGTTAGAGCTCATTAGCATTCTCACCAGATGCTTCTGTCTGTATATATGAGCATCTCCAGTTTTTTCTTTCCAGTACATGACCCAGGATACTAGCACAGCTTTCAAATTAAAAGAAATCTCAGTACAGCGTCAGATCCTTGCTCTTCTGGGGATTAAATCTGTGCAAGGCTATGACAAATCATTTCATATTTCTTGGACTTCTTAAAAACGTTTTTTTTATACAGATCACTTCACTGATTTTTTTGCATTTCTCAGGAATTTATACAGATGTGACTAACACATGCACTATTTGTTTTCACAGAAAAAGTGCAGAGAGCATTTGTCACTATAATTATCACACAGGACTTTATACACAGATGAAACCTGTGCTTCATCTGTCTCTGTGCAAAGCAATGCCCTAGCATGAGAGCTGTCAGAAATCATTACAGGAAAGAATTTAAAAACCTCATGCATTGATTCAGTTGCCACAGCCAAAGTAAAGATCATAACATCAAGTTACAACCCAGCTCCAGTTTTTAAGTGAATGAAAAATTAGAGGGCAGGGAGGCCAAATATGTGGGCTTCACAAAGAATGTGTCCTTGGATGTGCAAAGCAGAGCCGATCAGATCCCATGGTTAATTTATTGGAAATGAAGCTGTGACAACAATCTCAGCCCCAGCTCATCAGTCACATAGGTACAAAGCATCCAAATGGAAAACAGATTTTCCGATTCCCTGCACCTCCCTAGAGGCCTGTGCTGCTGTCTGAGGACTGCAGCAGTCTCCTTTCTTGGCTCATTTGCAAGATAAACATATTCTGGCCTCAAACGCTGCTCCTTTCCAACTGCTGGTGAAAACTCCAGTCAGTCTGAGAGATTAGGAGGATGATCTAGAGCACTACTCAATCCAAGAAAAATGCTCATGTGGGAACACAAAGCTGTTGTTGTGACCAGAGGTGTTTTGGTTTTTTTTTCCCCCCACTGGATCCCATTCTGCAAATCCAGATACAAATACTTTCTATCTTTATTCTTTATCCATATTAACTTCCTTTCTTTTCTGTTTATTTTTTAAGGGAGCCATACACTTAGACTTAAACAGATTTTTACAGTGCTAGTTAAATGCTGCTTTTCTGCACTTACAATGATTTAAGATGTGACTGACACAGCCCTCATACCTGGGCAATGCTGAGCTGGACCAGTACACAGTTTTACCATTTCCAAACACCTGCAGGAAGTAGTATTAACGATCAGACAGATGGAACTCAAATCTTAACTACACAGTACATAAATTTATAGTTCCTTGTAGATACAAGGTTCCTTGGGAGAGTTTTTTGGGAGCCAGTAGATCAGCCCCTACCCTTAAGGCAAGCTTCAGTTCAGGTCTTGCTTTCTGCCTGTCTGTGTCTGTCTCTACTTTGATTTCTGTTCTAAAACTGATGTATGGTACTTCCAAACTTTTCAAGCATTCACTGACTTTTAACCCTAAATCAACTTCATTTCAGCAGTTGGAGCAGCAGCTCCTCCATGCTCCTCATGCATCCTTAGATGGGTATGGTAGAACCCTAAAATAAGTCACATAGCAAGCTTTAAAACACTAGCGGATGACTTAGGGAAACTACTAGTGTTGATAAAATTATTAGTGCTACAGATAGATCTCATGTATTCATTATTATTGCCCTCTTCAAACTCAAGATAAGACATATAATTTGAGCACTGGGTTAGAAGCTACAACAGAAAAAAGATTAATTGCTCTGTTACAAAAACCTTCCAAGCAAGAAAATTAAACAATGTACATTTAAAACATGCACTTTAAAGGCTAAAGAACAGATTAAATTCTTCCAGTGACACAGGGACAAGCTTTTAGTTGGCATGAAGGCACATAATTTCATTGACAACACTGGCTAAAACAAACTTCATATCACTTATGTCTAGAGATGGCCAAACCCCCACAAATCTAGAAACCTTTGAAATCTGGGAAAACTTTGATCCAATCCAGACTTTATGGCTCTGATCCACTTCATCTGGGATGGACCCAAATGTGCTTAAAATATATTTCACAACACATTTTTGCTTGCATTTTTTTCCAGTAGGTCATAAATACCACATGTAAAACCATTTACTCTCATTCACAGCACCTACTAGCAGAGCCAGCTATTCCAATCTCCAACCCAGAATGTTAAACAAAAAACAAAAACAAAAACAACAACAACAACAACAAAAAACTAAAACAAAAAAACCCCCACAACAACAACAAAAGACTCAAGAGCAAGTTTTAGATCAGTTGACTTTGCTACCAAGCAGTAAGAAGAAAGCTGAGGTACTAAAATCTTCACACTCACAATGTTTGGAAGAAATTTAAACTAGTGAGAAACACTGTGTGACTTTTACATTGGGGAAGAGCTTACAAAGCACAAACCAAGTAATATCACTCCGCTCTTGTTATCCCCACAAAAAACAGACTCATTTGACTACAGTTTCTAAAGAAGCATATTATGTGAATCTAGGGTTTGGGGTGGGGAGGGGGTGATGATGTAACAGCTTCATTCACTGTAGTAGGAAAGGTGAGATCACAAACCACATCAGAAGGTTGTGGTTTTCAGATGACCTAGATGAAAGTGACGAAACTAAGTAAAATCTAAGCAGGGAAAAGGAGTCTGACAAGCTCTTTTGACTGCATTCGCCATCAATCATTTTAAAACTGAGTTGTTAATAGCTTAAATCAAGTACAGCCAGACCCCAGATCACAGGATAATTCCACAAGGAATGGACCTCAGGAGGTCAGACTGGGTTGCTTAGGGCTTTATCCAGTTGGGTCTCGTAAACCTTCAAAGTTGGAAACAGCACAGCCTTCCTGGGCAGCCTCTGCCCTTGCCTGACTTGTCTTTGGGGTGAAAAATTTTTTCCTTGTACCTAATCTGAACCTCTCTGTTTGTTTTACACACCTGGGTATCTGGATCTGTCTTCTGGATGATTTCTCCATAGCTACTGGGTGGCTGCTGTTTCTTAGGTGCTCCCAAAGATGTCCCTCTTCCAGGCTGAACAAGCCTGATTCAGCAGCCACTCCCCAAAATACCAATGATCCAGTCCCCTGACTTTCCCAGCAACCCTCTGCCAAACTCATTCCAGTTTATCAATATCTTCCCTGTACTGAGGTGCCTGAAACAAGGCTCTCTATTTCAGATGTTGACTAACAAGCGCTGAGGAGAAGGTCATGATCACTTCCACAAATTTGCTGTCTATCCTATTATAAGTACACCCCAGGATACTCAGGGTTTTTTTAGCTGCCAGGGCACACTGCTGCATCATGTCCTACTTGCTGTCTACCAAAATCCCAGGTCCTTTTCCACAGAGTTGCTTCCCAACTACGCAGTCTTCAGGCTCTATTATTGCCACCGACTCTTCCTTCCCATATGCAAGGCTTCACATCTGCCCTTGATGAATATTCTAGGATTTCTGTTGGCCCATTCCTCCAGCCTATCCAGATCCCTCTGGAAGGCAATCCTATCCTCCAGTATTATTGACAGGTCCTCCTAATTTGGTGTCCCTTGGAAATGTGAGTGCACATTCTTGCTTCTCATTTTTCAACAAAGATATTAAATTGTAAAGGACCTAGGACAGATCCCTCTGCCATTCCACTTGTCACAAGACTCCAGTTAGACTAGGAATCATTAACCTCTACCTTCTGAACCTGATCCTCCAACCATATTTTTACCCATCTAGTTATCTGCCCATCCAGACTGTAGTACTCTTAATTTTTATATAATAATATTGTGGGACATACCATCAAAAGCCCTAGTAATGTCAAGGCAAATGATATCCTCAGCTCTCTTCTGCAACAAAAACAGTGAGAGTTTTGGTATTGAACTTCAGGGAATTAGCTGTAACTGTTGGCTCAGGAAAGACACACTCAAACTGTGCAAAATGGCTGGTGCACACACTCATAGAAGACGTAGTCTTCAAAACACTTTGGAAAGCACAGGTTTGCATTTCTGGCATGCCACAGTCCAAATCCTTAGCTGCAATAATCATCCCAGTTCCATTAGGCTCAGTCTACACACAGTATTTCATCTCAGATAATGATCCTGGGATATTACACACCTGATATTTGTTGCCACAGCTCTACACGCAGGTTACACAAACAGGACCAAGGAAGCATCAAGGTGGAATAGCAAGAGAAACTAGAGAGATGCAGAAATTCCTCAGTTCTCCTGGCATAGATCCACTGTGTTCCTGTGAGGGTCTTTCTCTTACCTTTGCAAGGAAACTCCAGGCTGCATATTGCCCCGAGGTTGTGCTGCTTTTTAGCTTCACTGTGTGCAACATCAGAAAGAATCCCAGCAGTCCACTACAAAGGATGGAGAAAGCTTGTTAATAAAATCTCTTAACTTCAACTAAACAACCTCTTACAGACATCTTGGTTTTCCTAATGAAGAACTGCAATGTTAATCCCATTTGGAGAATGAAAGCTGGTGGACAAGAAGCTTACATTATGTCCAGTATACCTAGTGTTTTGTTCAGTCAGTGACTAGAATCTGAATAAAGTAAGTCTGACACTCTTATGGTTGGTGTCTAATGCACTTGCATAATCAGAAAAGTAGAGATTATTGAAAACATGAGGTGAAATATTAACTTCAGGCATTGAGATGGCTCTGAATAACAGCAATGCTAATTTCAGCAGGAGCCACACATATTTGGCAACTAACTCACTTCAACCTCCACAGAGCCTTGAACTGAAAAAATAACCACTGGAAAATTTCTGCCTGAAGCTTTTAAGCTGTTTAAACTTCATGAAGCCAAAATTCCAATTAGGGAGTCAAAAACATCTCTACTGTATAACAAATAGATGGCTCAGTAGTGCTGGGAACAGGATACTCCAAAATTTTCTGCTGACAATTAAGAGAATTTTGATTCTCAAGTCTTACAGGACAGCAGTTCACAGCACTCCTGTAGCCAAGACTACCCTTAAGGAAATTTTGTTCCACATCTCCACAGACTTTATGGAGTTCATGAGATTTGGCTCTGGATTTTGTTTCGCTTGTGATATATGTACAACCCACTGACTGTGAACCAGTGGAACACTGTAAGCAGGGAACAGAAAATAACTAAAAAATATGTAAGGCACAAATTACTGTGAGACGTAAGAGATTACAAAGTGCTGTGGGAAGCTGCATGGGAAAGGATCAACACAGGCAGAAAGGTGGTGAAGCAAAAAGTGCCTTGGAATTCACAGAGGGTATGATGTTCTGGATAGAGGTACCACGCAGTTGGTCCCCTCTCTACAGCACCAGAGAATGTGGAAAATGGTGGCTCCTCAGGTCAGAAGTTCTGTGCTGGGCTCCAGTATACCATCTGTTCCCTGTGCAACACATGTGGCCAAGTTCCAGCTCAGCTGCATGTCCATACAGGCACCAAAGAGCAGGTTAAGATAACTTCCCAGGAGTAGAAGGCATTGGGAATTTTTGCATTGAGCCATAATACAAAATCCTTTGGGATGTGTGTAAAGTCTGAAGTCAAGGGAGCAGATGCTGCTTTGATGACAAAAGCTAGGCCTAAACTCAGCAACTTGTTGCAGGGGATGGAGTGCTGAGCAGTAGAGCATTCCACTCTGAGAAATGAATGAGTTCAATGAACCAACATTGCCCATACTTTTAAAGAGTCCAGTAGCTTATTTCAGATCTTCTGCCCTGCTGTGATGGGCTTTCAGTCATGAAAATTTGAAGATATTTAGTACAACTCAAGAGATTAAAAAGTGAAACAGCAAATTATAATACCTAAAATATTGATGCCACAATTAACAGCAATTTATTTTTTTTAAATAAACTGAGCACTTTCCACCTTACTGCTGATGCTTCAGATACTTTTCAGAGGCAGTAGATTTAGCTGCATGAATTGCCCTTACCCTACATTGCATAGGTTTTCCTCCAAATCCCACATATCTACAAAGACACTCAATTATAAAATGTAGGAGAGCAACTGAGATGGTTTTTTCTCCATCTAACCATTCCTTTCCCCTTCCTTTGGTGTACAGTGTTATCTACTACACATGTGCTGAAGGTGGGCCAATGGAAACAGAAGTGGGAAGCTGCCATAGAGGTAAATGCAGTGAATGAGAATAATATCTGGGCTAGACTGATGTCCATTAGAGCCTGCAGTTAGACCTCACCTTCAAGAAATATAGATTTCACCTACCTACAGAATACCTAATTGTGAGTTACTTGTACTGTGCATAGACCACACTTGGAATAACATAACAAAAACCTATGTACATTGGAAATTATTTAACAATCATTCTCAATATACCCTTTCAACAGAAATTCCAAAGTCAGAAAATGCCTTTCAAGAAATATTTTTGCCATTAGTTAGCATGAAAATATCTTTTTCCCCCTCTTAAAAACATAATTTGGTAAAAGACTGAGGGGGAAAGACAGGAATCTTTTAAAAATTAAGATCTATGGGAAACATATTTATGTTGTCCTGTGAGAATTATGCCAATATGCAGTGAACTTTTGCTACTGAAAATAATTAAACGCTTGTTAAAGCTTTTCCTTTTTACCCAAACCAGCATTCTGCCAAATCACAAGATGTACAGGCAAATAAATCCATGTACATCCATATACTGCTGAAGACTAATACTTAGTAATTGCTGCAAACAGCAAGTTTGGGTTAATCTGACTTCAGAAGCATTTGAGAGATGCTATGTATCAAAGCTTTGCTACACTGGGTAAACAATATTTTACTGGCAACTGCGAACTCCCCCAATCAGAATGCACTCACTCAAGGAAACACATACTTTCAGCACATTTGAGTCTCAGGCCATCAAATGCATATCCACAGACATGCAAAGATTTGTTCTTTGCAATTCTACTGGCTTATGGCAGCAGAAACTAGTATAAGCAAGGATTTACATGCTACAAAGTTTTTAACTGAGAGTACAGGCTGGAAGTCAATTAAACCTCTTATTTTGAAAACATTTACATGACCTGTTACAGAGAGGTTACCTGGCACAGCAGCTGCTATGAAACCTGTAGAAGTACAGGAATGGAAAATCCAAGGCACTGAAGAGATCACCTGAGGGACAAAGCAATACACTCAGTAGGTGGGAAAAAAATTACCCACTGTTACAAGCAATGCGACAGCAATTACATGAACATTACTAGTTTAACATTCCTTTGAGTCTTTACAGCTGGCTGACTTTTCATTTATGATGCTTTCCACATTTCTGGCTTGTTTAATGATTTCTCTCTGACCTTGCTTCTAGCCAGTTCTTGCCTTTGGTTGAAAAAGGGGAAAGGGATACCTAAGAATATTTATTCTTTTCCAGTATTCAGAAGGTCCTGTTGCCAGTGGACAGACATGTATCGTATCCACTTCTTTTATAACACAGCATGTGATAGCTCCTACTGAAACAACAGGAAACACAGACATATGGTGGTTGCTTCCCCCTCTGGCATTTGAACTCCGTGACACAGAGCATGTTGAGAGGTTTAAAGAGTTCTCCTAGGTCTAAGTAGAGCTCTTGAGTACTTGCATTTCCAGGAACCCAGGATTGGGTGCTCTTGGTGGCAATTCCAGGAGTTCTTTGGCCTTCAGGCTCTACAGATTTGCATGAAGTTCCATCTTTCACTTTTTTAAATGCAGGACTGTTTCACTTAACATGTATGTCTATCCTGGTGACGGTTTCCTGTATACACAATCTGCACCACCAGGAAAAAGGGAAAATTTATGTTTCTTTAAATGCTTCCTTCTTTGTTTTTCTGGCTGAACAAATGTAAGCAACAGATGATCACCTTTACCCTCTTAATTATCAACACACCAGAAGACAGGAATATTAGCCACCAAAAAATGTCTCAATTTTTACCACCTGATATGCTGCTACTTCAAATCCTGCTATGGGCCCAAGCAATGGGATCCGCGTTATGAAAGAAACAAAACAAAAACTCTGCATAGCACTGAGGACAATGCAGAGAAGGAAACTCAGTCCTACATGAACTGCTGGGACACTGCTCTGAAGAGGACATGTTGGCTTAGGGAATTCTTGTTCTTTACCATGCACCACCCCAAAAACTGTTCTTTGTTGTCAGTCCCATACTGCTTGTTTGCAAAGGATAGCTAAGAATGGTATTGGGAAATATCATGCAACTTACACCAAGTTTATATACCCTTCTGTCCTCTTCCTACATGATAACATATTATTGGTCATATTCAGGGCTAAAATTCTAAGGGTTCCCTTAAAACATGCACAGAAAGCAAAAGCAACATGGAAACCTAAGAAAGGAACAATTCAGTTCACTTTACCTGCTGGATGGGATGCAGAGGCCAACAGCACTACACTAAAAAATAAAAAATTAATTGGATACCACAGAATTTATGACATGGGTTGAAGACTATAAATTGATAGTTTTGTGTTTGTTTTTTCATGGTGAAACTTATTCCAGTTAAGTAGAATAACTGAGACACAAATAGTAATTAAAAGAAAACACAAGTTGATTGGAAAGAAATGTCTGGGGTCACCTAATAAAATTTCTGACCTGAAGCATGACTATCACAAATATTTGATGAGGCCCTCTGGTTCTGTCTTAAAAAGGCATGTCTCAAAAACCTACCAGTAGAGAGATTCCACACCTCTCTGGGTAACTTTTCCAGGGCCACTCTACCCTTCCAGCAAAGTTTTTCCTGCTGTCCCATTTTTAAACCACCAAAATTGCAATGTATGGTTGTTGCTCCGTATTATGCTGAATATTGCATGTAGACAAGTTTAAAAACACATGAAAATAAAACCAAGTACCAGCCTGAATTATTCACACTTTCCAGATACAAGTGAACAAGAAAACCAGCTGTGACCACTTCTTTATCTGAAGTATTATCACTTACGTTTTCTGAGGTCTTACAAAGGCCTCACCCTTTTGAATTTGCAGTATAGGTTGTACAGAGCCTTTTTTAGTGTTACTGATTCTTCTTGTAAATTTATCTCCATTTTTCATTCCTTCTTAGAAATTGCTTCTAAGATTAGAGGGCTACAAAAACATTCCAGGGTGCCATGAGATGGGATAAGCATGCACGTCTGTACAGCTACAGCTTCTTCCAGTTACCCACAACATACATCCATGACAAACACTAAAGACAAGTGGGAGAAGAAGAAAATAGTATCTCAAGAGTTTGCTTCTTGGTAAGCAGCAAGCACTGCACTTACAGAGGTAAAAAGACCTTCATTAATGTTATGAATGCTCAAGCATTCCAGATCAACTCCCTTTTCCAGTGTTAACACAGCTACCATTTCCAAACCTGTTCACTCACAGCTGGTCCCAGCTCTCTACATGATCAAGCCTCCATGCTTGGTGACCTGCCCTTGGCAAGCTTTGGTGGACCCCAGCATTAGTCACAAAATCACCTGCAGCAAAAGGAACTGCAAAGAGCATGGAAATCCCATGGCCAAGGAAGCTCTAGGGGGAAGCTTGTCACTAAAATCAGCTATGGAACACAATAGGCTGAAGGAGGAAAGGGTTTATGAGGGACAGACAGGCAGGTATGTTAGGCTTCACATTTTATAAGTCTTTGAAAGGCATCAGATGGTATAGTGTGTTCACATTCTCAATATTTATACATGTTTTTAAAAGATGTTATTGCCACAAAGGTATTAAACAAGGCAAAGCAGATCACTTACAGTAGGTAATTTGCCCTACCCCTCCTCCCCACACATAGATGCTCTCCCTGAAAAGGGATGCCAAGAGTAATTCACAATAAACAGGCCCAGTTCCTCTGTTTCCTGGTAAAGAGAGAAAAGGAAGCAAAGGTCTACTGCTTTTGACTGAATAACAGAGAAAATAGGAGACTGACAGGGAAAGTGAAACTGTATCAACAGTGATGAGAAGTAGGGCTAAGCCATGTTTCTCCACTTGTTTTTTGAATTATTACATTTAAAACAAAAACCCACTGAGATTGGGAAATAGTCAGAGAGAAATTTCCTTCTGCAACCGAGAGGAATTGATAACCCTAACAGACCTCCCAGGTTTTGGTCCAAACAAAACAAAACCTTAATTGTGAAGTGCAGGGCAGGTTAAGGCAAATGGATTAGATGGCATTACAGCTGCTCTGTAGCCCTGCTCTGAATGAAGCATCTGTAAAAAAGACATGATGATGCTGTAAAACCAGATTAGGGACTCAGAGGTTTCTAGCAGGACAGCCTGAATACGAGGCTGCAGCAAAAACAAATTCCATGTGCCAGATTTCTCTGCTCCTCTCTTTTTCCCCCTGTACTAAATACTGAGGGCTGGGTCACTCGTGGTTTCCTTTCTGGAAAAAAGAGATTTTGTCAGCAAGAAAAGCAATTTATGCCTGCAAAACTGTTCTCCCCTATTGCAGAAAAGCTACTGCAGCATTTTTAATTCACAGAAGTGACAGATTAGCAGCTCTTCCAGAAGCCAGATGTAGTTTTGCTGCATAGAGTAGAGCCTTTACCTCATAACTTTGCTATTTATTCACCATTTGAAATTCTCCTGTATCTGTTTTCTCCTCACCAATGGCTGCCAGGCCATCTAGGCATGCCTTTGTGGACAAATTTCAGACAGAGACAGGTATTGGGATGCACTGAAACTTTCTTGCAGGTTCTTAACAAGAAGTAAAATATCTTTACTTGCCTCAGCATAGGAGAAAGCCCAAGAGGAGCTACAACCTGCTTCTAAGACATTTATGTCTCCCTCAACATGCCAGGCAGGCATTACTACTCCTCCTCTCATGCTACCCCTCACCAGCTAAGGGGTAGAAATCTGGCTCCCCCTTTGATAAAAAGTGGGGGAACAGAAAGGAATAAAAGAAAATGTAAGATTACAAGGAAAAAAAAACAAACCACTAGGAAGTAGAACACTAATGCAGAAGTCAGAGTACAGAGAAATACAATACTGCAGTTAAAAAAGGGGGTGGGATCAAGAGGATTGGAGGATTAGAGGCAGGATCTTGGAAGTACATTGATCCTTTTCTCTTCCTCCCTGCCCCAGATGCTTAAACACAAGGGAGAGGGATGAATTGGATGGGGCTGGGCACTGAGAAGCAACATTTCCCCTCCCTTCTCTGCATAGCACAGCTCTGCTTTCCCTCCTACACTTGTCCCTGGCCTGGCTCCCTTTTTAAAAGCCATTGAATAATCACGTTGGAAGTGATGAAGTGAGAAGAATGCCAGACTTTTGACATCAGCAAATATTTCTTCAGATCTGTTTGATTCTGGAAAGTTCCCATTCATATACATTTACTTAGGGTGTTCTTTTCTTCCAAACTGTTCCAGATTTCAGAACAAGAAATAGTGCATGGTGTGTAAGGACAGCATATGTTTGGAGACTGCTCATTTCAGTTGCACTTCTGGAAGCATCCAACACAGCCTTCTCTTTTTTACTCTAACATATTGGTATATTCTAGCATCCAGTAATTTGTGGCAGATCTTTTAATCTGCTTCATGAAGGCAGTCTCTACACTCAGTAGAGTAAAACTGTGCTTTCATACTGAACTGAGAAATACTTTGAGTATAATAAAATGAACATTTTGAACATAATGAACACTTTGAACATAATCCTATGTATTAAGAAAAATTTCTTCACTAAAAGGCTTTGGAATCAAGCATTGGAATAGGTTGCCCTGGGCAGTGTCTGAGTCACCATCCTTAGAGATATTTAAGAGACGAGGGGCTTAGGGACAAGGTTCAGTGGTGGGCTTGGTGGTGCTTGCTTAATGCACTCAATGACCTTAAGAGTCTTCTCTAACCTAAAAGATTGGATGATTCTAAACACTATCTGGCTGTGCCCACACAGCTACATGTCTGATCTAGGTTAGAAATAAGGAGCTTTAAACACCTGTTGATCATAGTTTTAGGAGGAAAAACTTGCACTGATACCACACTAGCAAGTTCCTTCACAAATCATAGGATCACACAATCATGCTTGTAGGGACAAGGCCTCCAGTACACACTAAACTGTCCTGTCCTGGAGGTGGAACTGTGATCCTGTCATGGCCAGAACAGTCCCTGAGAAGGGCTGAGAAGAGCAGGCAACATAAGCTTTAACGCCTGCTAAATCACAGAATTTACTGCTGGGCACCCTCTGACAGAGAAAATCAGTAATTCTGACCCAGAGCTGCCTGTGAGGAGTTAGTGCACATTCAGAGAACATTCCTTTAGTCAGTGATGACTTTAAAAGTAGTTTTGATTATTTTCTACAGAAATTAAGTTTGTGCAGTTAAGCTGGGTGTTCACAGCTCCACACAGCTCTCAAACATGCTGAACAGCTTCATCCAGATTTGGGAAGCGGCAGTGGTCTCTGAGATAACTACATGTGCAGGGGTCTCACACAGGGACAAACCCTGCCTGTGCCTCCTGCAGCAGAATTCCAGCCCCATTAGACACTGGAAGAGACACATCATGGAGACTGCAGACCAGGAGAGCATTTCTGCCAAACTTTACACCCTTTCAAACATCATTAGCTATTTTGAAAAAACAAAACTCTAAAAGAATTCAGATGTCACTTATCCCATTGTCCATGGTACTGCTTGTTTTCCCTAGGCAAGATGAGATCCAAATGCTGCAGATTGTGAACTTTTCCTACACACAGAAATGTATACCCATACAGACACATAGACATATAGATACACACAGACCCAAACCAAAGAAATAAGAAACTCCCTTAAGCCACCTGTTTTCCAGCAAGTTGCTTTGCACCATCATCTACACTGAACTTTAAGCCTCTTCTTGGGGAAAAACTTTGGAAGCTTTGATATTTTTGCCCTTAAACAGATGCTGAAAATAGCCATCTTCCAATTTGCATAAATCCATTGTTGGATTGTTTGTTAGCTTCTTTTCTGTAAAAAGAACAGTTTTATATACATATACTGCTGCACCTCACAGTTCCTCAGTGAGAAGCTTCTCACTTTCAAAAGCTTCCAAATAAATTATCATACTTTTCATGTAATGTGGGACTCCTGCTCTCTGCTGGACACAAGTTCAGAGACTTCAAAGGGCCAAGATCATGAACTAACAGAAACAGCCCATCCCTGACTTTTCAATCAAAGCTGAAATATTAAGACCTTTGGCCAAAATCTGAATTTAAAGGTTCATGCCTAGATGCAATTTTCAACTAAAATGAGAACTGAGAGACAGTCAGGCAGCTGCCAAATGAAAAAAAAAAATTGATTTTACTGCTTGGTTCATGATTTCCCTTCAATACAGAGAGGTAGCTACATCTCATTGCAGACTTCATAGATTATTTTTGCATGTGGCAGCATATTTGCAAATTCCAAGACTAATTCTTCCAAAATTTCAATAAACACACCTACCTTCTTTGTGTAAAATGGATTTGCTGTGCATTTTTAATAGATGTAAAACAACAACTGACTTAAACAAGAGCCTACTTCAAGCAAACTGATATCTAGATATTGTCCATTAATGGGACCCTGATGAATCATAAAGGCAAAAGCAGAGGCCTGCATTACTTATTTACAGAAATAGGAGATTTGATTGAACTAAGACAGAAAGAGATACAGTGTTATCATATTGACTATGATCACAAGACAAATGGGAATTGAAGGAAAGCAACTGTCATGCATTGCTGTCCCTGATGTACTTTTATTAGGGATCTTTCATGTGGCCAGACAAGAGCATAAATCCATCTAATCAAACAGGCTGGGACAACTTCACTTTTGTTATGCTTATTCCCAACTTCTGCTCCCTCTTTCACTCCTTCTGACCACAGAAGGAATTTCCTTGAATTTATTATTCATACTTTGTGTTCCCAAATGACTTTAGGTATGAACCCAAGAAAAGAGGCCAACATATATTAGATGTGATTTTGGATGGAAGAAAATTGAATCAAGTCTCTAGATGCCTTACTTGAAATAAAGCCTCACAAAAACCTAACAGAAGCCATGTACACTGAATGTCCTGGTTTGTGGCTCTTTGAAGAAAGGACTGGATTTAAAAAAGCAGGGGAATCTGGTCAGTGACTCAGACTCTTTCACTAGCTACAAAATAACAAGCCACTCTTCTATCTCCAAATCAGAAAAACAACTGAAAGTCAGAATTACTCAATCCCACTAATGGCACTCTGAACAATCAGTTACTGCTCATGTTCTTTGCACACAGTACTTTTGTAATCACTACCTCCTCTTCTGGCAATTTTGTGCAAGTTTTATTTTCTGAAGTGGGGTATTGCCAGGGAGTTACTCTGTAAATATTATTTCTGGAAGTGATAGATCACTTGTGCACGTGGTGATTTAAAAATTCATAATTAACACCTCGTTACCTCCTCAGGTGTATATTGGCATGTCCACCTACAACTGGAGCCAAAAAAATTCAGCTGCTAAGCCGTTCAGCTTAGCACTGCTCTTTCAGTGAATGCCCTGCTAAATAAATGCATTGAAGTAGTGGTAGCTATGAGTTTCTTCAACAAGCCAAGGTTGAAAATGAAAACATATACCACATAAAACCAGCCCTGGTGTATCAAAGACTTATTCATTTTACCTGAACACATAGTTGATGTACTGTTGGTCCAGATCACTGGTAGAGGAGGCAAAGAAAAAAAGGTGGTATTTTTAGCAGCGCACTTCATTTGATCTAACAGATCAGTATATTAAGCAGTAATATACAGTAATGCTGTAATATTACATTATATTAATTTATATAATATATAACAAGGTTAATATTAGGTAATACTAACATTATATTATAATTATATACAATTATAAAGATACCATAGTAATAATTCTATCAACACAAATAAATTAATTATCAATTGACCAACATATTAATTTACACAGGATCCACACATTATTTCTGTTGTTACTGTCAGTAGGAGTTTCATTTAAAGTGAAGATAAAGTGAGACTGATTAAAATTTAGACCCTTTAACCAGAGATGGAAAATGGTTTTGAAATAAATAAGCTTATCCATGCATGTATATTATACACCATATGCAGTGCCAACATACCCATGTCTATCCATAAAGAAAACTGGAGATTACAGACTGTGAACATGCAGTGCCACCTGATTCCACAACTACTACTGCATGGTTGCAATTCTAACATGCACATGGGATTAGTGCAAGGTTCCAAGGTGTTTAAGGTACTCAGCCATTCCCATCCTGTGGTAAGCCACCAACTGCTGAACACTTTTGAGACTGTGCCACAAAGGGAGATACTGACAGATCCAAACCATGTAGCTTTCCACATGAACACAGACTAATATTTCCTCTTAACACCTGTGTCAGTAATTAGGGGTTCTTTTTCCACGGCTGGTTGTCACCCTTGGATAATACACCGTTTAAAACTAATTCAATGTTCCAGTTAGCAGTGTAACTATCAATGACCACATGCTGTTGCTACCAACAATAAATAAGGCTCATCTTGCAAGAGAAGTCATTAATGATTAACCAGGAGTGGCCCAGCTCCTGCTGATCATGCACAGCTCCCTACATCACAGTCATCTCTCTTTATGAAAGAATAAGAAAACATATTACCTTAAAGATCCAGGTTTCCACAACTTGTGAAATACTTTGTAAGCCCCTGTAATTGAAATGACATGTGTAATTGCCACATCATGCGATCATTCTGACAAACAACAGCTTGTTTGGCTGTGCTACTGGCAGACGTGGAACCCCTCTGAATTACAGTTTAGCAACACAGCACAAACGATTCCTAAACCATGAGTAAAATGAACCTATTGCTTCAAATTAATGGTTTTCAAAGTGTTATCAGCTCTGAGCACAGTCACACTTTGTGTTTCTGCTAGTTCCTTCTGAGGACATCTTCTAGCTCACAGCAACAACGAAGGAGAGGTTGTGTGTTTGTGCATGGTTTTATGTGTAAATACATACAGAGAAATGTCACAGAATGGGTTTTTAAGCCTACACAATTTTGGTGGTAAGTTCTATGATATATATGATCACCTACATAGAGCTGTTGGGTCTGAGCCATCTTTCCTGTTTAAAGTTCTCTCAGCTTTAGTGTCTCCAGGTTCTTTACATTCTTGACCCAGCCATCTACCTCTACCATTTCTGTCCTGGGTAAAGATTTGAGCACTCATGGAAGAAATGACAATGCTTCAGGCTCTGTTTTTTCAGATCCTTTCTTCCAGGCTTAGGGGTAATTTTTTTTATTCACAGAGAAAGCTAGAATATGAAAAGTCAACCCAGTAGAAGACTATGAAATAGATCTCCTCAATCCTGCCTCCATTACACAAGCTGAAGGGTAGAACACACGTCCTTTCTTTGATTTACTATGCAGTACATTAGTTCATCTGTTCGCCCCATCTCGTAGCACCTTCATTCCAGTTGATAGGAAATCTAATTACACAAATAACTCCCAATAGCGATATCAACAACTCTCAAAACCAAGAGAAATGGAAGGCAGTTATATTTTGAGCATAAACATTCTGTTGGCACTTCCTACACATTTCAAACACACAAATGAAGCATTCTGAAGACTCTCTAAGCAATTTTCCAGCAAGACCAAAGGCTTTCAACCTAGATTTCTACTCTCAGCAAAGCAGAGGCAATTCCACTCTATTTTACACTGACCCTTGTTTAATTTTCTTATTCCATGTTTAAAAAATTATTTCTGTCACCAGAATTTTTACATAATGCATTCTTCATAACTTGTGCACAGCAAAGTTTTATGGGCAGAGAAGAAGCACAAAACACCTCAGAAGTGATAAAAACAAGTTTTTTTGGTAGAGAATATTTTTTTTCACTAGCCATCTGGCTTCCCTAGGCTTTTTCAAAAAGCCTAAATCAGCCAATTTTTGGCTGAATGGCTACCAAAAAATTCTTTCACTGAGACTAATTGCCTGTTACAGCAATTCCAGCAGGTGTGACTCCATTACAAGTGACACTGTTACTCCAGAGCACAGAGCAAGGTGGAATTGACTGGTATATACTGGAAATGTCTTAAGGACAGCACAAGTCCTCTCCTAGTCCACCAATTTAAGCTAAATAAATTCTTAATCTGTGGCTGAGTCAGGATTTCTTTAAGCTACAGGGAAGACACTGTGGAATTTCTGTGGTCTGCCACTATATTAACATACTCTTGATTTTGCAGCTTATTTTCCTACTCTCTAAGGCATGGGAAAAGACAGAATAAAGATTATTTTAAAAACGGTATCCTTGACAATAATCCAGTGGTGAAGACAAGGCCACATAGTTAGATAATGGAAACAACAGGAAGAAATTAGGAAGATAATGCCTCTAAGTACACTACATAATAACCCAACATTATCCATTCTAAAGTACAGCTAAAAGATTACAGGATGTGGAAGACAGCAAATACCATTTTCCAGGGGGATGTCGGGGCATAGAATCGAAATTTTAACACATGACTGGTTGATTTTTGTTTGTCTCTTTCCATCTCCTTTTTGAAGCCTAAACAACCAGGGCCACCAAGGGTTGGTAGTTGTGCAGCTTAATGTCACAGAATCATCAAGGTTGGAAGAGACCTTCAAGATCATCTGTCCAGCTGTCAGCCCAGAGCCACCGTAATCACCCTAAACCATATCCCCCAGTGCCACATCTTGAACATTTCCAGAGATGGTGACCCCCCCGCCTCCCTGGGCAATTTATTCCAATGCCAAACCACCCTTGTGATTTTTTTTTTCCTAATATCTAACCTGAACCTCCCCTGGTGCAATTAAAGGCCACTTTCTCTTGTCCCTTCATTTGAGACATGGCAAAACAGACTGACCCCCACCTCGCTATGAATGATTCCAGCAGAAATGGATCTCATTTACCTTTCATTTCTAAGGGAGGGAATTTTTAGCTACTTTCTAACACACTAATTATCTTTCTCTTACTGTTTACGATTACCTACTGGAAGCTCAAACCTTTCAAGCCTTTCCAAAAGCATTGTTATGGGCTCTTTTATCATTCATTTCATTTTTGTAAGGAGAAAAAACATATCAAACTATGCAAGCAATTGCTAAAAAAGACCTAAAAATATTTAATTACTCCTATGTTGCAACTTAGGCTCACTGCCCACAGGAATGTGCCTTACATTCTTCATTGTTTTGGCGTGCCATTATCTGAAGCAAATACAGAAGCTGGAGCCAAAACAAGTCTGAATTTGAATCTGAGTAGTTTTAAAAGCTTACCTACAGACTTTCAGATGAGAGGTCTGCTGTAAAAAAGAAAGTATGATTAAAACATTAAAATTTAATGATAAAAATGGTAAAATAGTGTTTTCTCCTTCCAAAAACTCGAAAATGATGACAGCTGATCTTACTGCACCATACACATTAAAACTTCAATGAGCAGCATTCAAAATTTGAGCACTGCTTAGAAAATTTAATTTGATAAAGAAGAATCAGGATTATGGATCAGCCTACTGCACCTTGATTTATATTTTTAGATTACTTACCAGCAAGTAAACTTAAAACCAGACATGAACTTAATACCTGCTCCTCAAACTTGACTTGCATTGTACCAAAACTGTGTAACATATGTACTCAAATATTGAGTTTTCCTAACTGGGTACTACCTCATACAAACCAATCTTGATCTAAACTCATGAAATTTTCCCAACTCTTTGATATGAAATTATTCTTGAAGAGCTTTCCTTTAGGCCTGTGTTTGCATTATCCTTGTCTGTAGTGCTTTTCTTTTTAAAGAGAGGAGTCATAAGCTTGTGACATAGAAGGAAAATATGAAACACTTTGACAGGGAGACTAATCAGAAGACAATGACACAGGGACATGCCATGGTACACACTGCTATGTCCCTTAGGCATAACCTTCGTGATCCCTTCTGTTTGTTAGATGAAGTAAACACCCATTTATCTGTCTTCTATACAAAAACCAGTTATAATGAATGGAAGATGCCTTTCACAGCAAGCCAGAGGCCACTGTAGAAACAACTTTGTGATGAATGATCTCCCAGTGTTAGCTCACACAGCAACTCTGTAGTCAGTTAGAAAAACATTTCAAAAAAAGCCTTAAAAGAAGGCTCCCCAATGCAGTTTGTAAGGAAAAAAACAACCAAAAACAAACCAGTTCTTACAAAAGGGTACAAAAGTTATTCTCCAGACATTCATAGGGGCAAAATCTCAAACATTCAAAACAAATTTAAAAATGCACTCTTCCTCCTGCATTTTATGTGGAAATGTGACCTATCTGTAAGCATACAATGAAAGAGATCTATTTTACTGATTAGATCTAAGGGCAGAGTCCTCATTCCTCTCAGCTCAAACAATGAGACTTTTATGTGGGGCATGAGAGAGAGGCAATATTAATTTTCAAAAGCATAAAATAAGCAGGGTCAAGCCAGTCTTAAAAATGCAGATCAGACTGGTGATATGTATTTGCAGTATTTCATCAAATAAGGGGAAAGGAAACATCAGTATAGACACTTGTCACCAGCAAAAAGCTCTCTCAGGGTCTCATTAATGAATTGCTATTACAATGAGTCCAGAAAAGTACTTGGCACTAATGCCTGTATTAAGAGAAATTAGGTATCTTGTTCTGGGGCAGTTCTATCACAGGAGTTACCTTGACTAATAGGTCAATTACCTCTTTCTGCACAAACTTCTGGAACCCACAGGTTATGACTTCTGCCGCGTTGTGCACAGTGAGGAACACCGGGATTGGCTGCCATGGGGAGAGAACAAAAATGCTCAAATCAACCCAGAGCAGTCACACACATAGGAAGGGGCACTCCTCCTAGAAACAGCTGTCCCACATGTCTGTGGTTTGGGGTTTTGGTTTTTGAAGCTGTAAACCCATGCCACATCACCTAAAAGAGACTTAACCTATTTCAATCACTAGCACAGGCATTTTAAATGCAGACCCTCCTGCAGTCCTGCTTTCTGCATCTCCCACTGCTGAGTTCTCAGTCAGCTTGTGTGTACCCAGCTACCCCAGTGAGATTTGCTCCAGGTTTCAGCCTGTAGTCTTCCCTCTCTGATCCAGGTCCTTCAGCCTTCACAGTAAACAGTTCTCATTTGTTGTCCCATCTCTGTCTGCTGGTACTAAGAATACAGTGTGACTCCTAGCAACAGATTTATGGGCAAGACAATTTTAGGTGATTGCTTTCAGTTACTGCTAGGAAGAACTGCCCAAAATTAGGATAGAAATGCAATAGTTCATACACAATGATGTTGAAATTATACCCACTGAGGTATCTGGACACCATCCCAACATGAAATCATTAAGAAACAAACCCTAATGATAACAATAATGAATCAAACACCCACTGCCCCGGGCAAACCCAACCAGAATTAGTGGTTCATAATACTTCCTCCAAATCAGATCCATGGTCTCTCAGACAGCTGAAACAGAAGCAATTCTCTGCTCTGATTAAGATAATCTAAAGACTAAGCCATTTTAGGAAGCAGTATTTCCCCACTCATATATGGTATTTAAATCACAGTAGCAGGGAATGGATTAATTTCTCAGTGATGTCCAAACTTTTAAGTACCAGGTGATATAAGCAGCAAATATCTCTCAAATGTGACTTTGCAAATTTTCTGTAATTTTCTTTTCTTTACATGTTAAAGAAAAGAAGCCAGATAAGCATTGCTGATTAAACATTTTAAGTCATAATGACAGCTGGAGTGGGTCCATAGTCACAACAGTTGCACCAAAATAAGAATGGAAATCACACAAACAAAACTGGCATGAAGTTGTTGGACCCAGCTTCATCGGTACTGAAAACCAATTCTCATCCCTGTTGCTGGATAACTGAGAACATAAACTCAGAAGTATTAAACATAAAAACAGTCTAAGCTTGACACAGTAATAGGAAATACAAGAGATACCCATAAACAAGGAAAGTTGACAGGAAAATTTACATTCTTCCCTTTGTGAAAGCCAATTTGTTGGGTTTTTCTTTCCTCCCTTTTGGTTTTGGCTCTTCCAAATGTGTTTTGGAGCCAACAATGGCTCCAGTTTGCCTAGCCCACTTAACCTTCTCCATATGTCTATTGCCTTTGATGCAAGCATTTCTTAAATTTGTGAGTGGGCTTAATGCTTATGAAAAGAAAGGTTTACTGGTTGGGCAGGCAGGGCGAATACACTCTGAACAAATCTCCTCTCATGGCTTTGCATAGTTTTTAAATCATCACAGTCCAGAGCTAAGTAGTCCTCCTCCAGTTCTAGCCCTGAATCCTTGGTCTGGGGAGATTGCCAGCACCTCTAGGAAGAGGCACAAACAGATTAAAGTTGCAGATTTGCCAGTATACAGGAATGTTTGAAAGTGGGTCCCCTTGGATTTGATAATAAAAGTACACATTATTTCTGCTTTAGAAATAAACCCACTTAATTAAAATATGCTGTTGAGACCAGCCAATTCAGCTGTGAGTTTGGGAGAGTCCACTTTCATTTTCACTGTGTCATAAAATTGTTGTAGACAAAGTTATTGTAAGTAAAGCTTCTACATAGGATTGAATTTAGCTCCACTACAAGACAGCACATAATAATTGTGGTCTAAGACTGCTTTTCATTTTGTCTTGCCTTGTAAAATGGCCACAGAATTAGATCTCTAAATCCCCATTCATGTACAACAAAAGCCGTTATGAAATGTGAGATGCTCCTTAAGAAAGGTTTGGGATACAAATCAAAACCCTTCACAGCCCTTCTGCCACTCCAGTGCAGTTCATTCATGAATGATCAGAGCAGGAGCAGGAGGCAAATACAGTAACTTTCAGGATGACCAGGAAGTAAGAAGAAATAGCAGAGATGTTGTGATTCTTAACTTCTCCACCACCCAGGTGAGCAAGGAGATAAGAGGCTGCTGCTAAGGCTTTATTGGTTCTTCCAGACAGGGTTTTGTTATGGGACTTGGCATATCTTACACTAAAGGAGGCAAGTGGAACTTCCTGTGACAAGGAAGCAAGAGGAAGTAAATGCAATCACACTGAGAGAGAAATGGTCACAGAGCATGGGGCTTCTGAGCACATGCTTTCCCAAGATTATTTGTGTCCAAGATAAGGCCCCTAACCTTGCTTACAAGGACAGAGACCTCCTGTTCTTTTCTGCTCTGTCTACTGGGATTTTCAAGGGATCACTACAATCAGAATCTGGTAAAAAAGTCCCTTTTGATCCTGCTTAGGACTCAGGAGGTAACAGGGACAAGCTGGCTCTGGAGCTACATTAAGATGCATTGACAGAATGCAGAAGGGAACTAGTGCAGAATCTCAGCTTGCAGACTGCACAACAGCAGCAAAATATTGTTATTTTAAAAAAACAAATGCCACCAATTTTTTTTTTTTTACTTTTTTTAGAGAAGGCTATATAATTTAAGCATAAAGCACTCAAGTTTCATGAAAGGAGATTTGACATTCTGTAAACATTTGGTAAATTACTGTGATGCAAATGAATCCTAAAACTGAGTAATCTAACCCTTCCCATAATCTCTTTCCAACTTTCTATTTATTTTTTCAAATCCTGCAAAGAACCAAAACCTTCTCATTGAAATAATCTTCATCAGTTTCCTGGAAGGATTTCCCACAGATCCCACAAACCGATTCCTCCTTTTGCAAAGATACAGCTACTGATTTCTTCAGCTTCTTTCCTACCTGTACAATTCAGACCACGGAGGATCTGTTCAGCAAAACACTAAGTACTCTGTAGAGATGCTGAGTGCTTCAGACTGTCACAGAGATGCTTTTTGATACTTAGTAGGATTGGACCGCTGCATTAGCTCCACTAACAATGGATCTATTATTTAAAGTCCTCCTCCCTCCTTCTCCCTCAACCCAGGAACAACATTAAACACCATGTATGAAGGGAATGGTCTTTGTTTACAAAGTAGAGGTAATAAAGAGCTGACTTCTACTGGTTCATTTCTTACCAATCTAGACAGTGCCCTGGAGCCAGCATAAATAATGCCCACAAAAAGTACTGATGCAGGAAGCCATGACAGGATTTCAGACCTGTGAAAACAATTAAAATCCCATTATTTCACCGCATTCTGTTTACATACAGAAAGCAACAGTTGCTTGCAATTAATGCAATAATATGTACATATGTACATTAATTTCAAATATGTGCATGTAAAAGGCAGTATCAGATTGCTTAGTATTCTTCCCATTTACTAAGGAGTCCAAATTAGAAATTATTCATTTTGTCTAATCCAAGAGAGGAACTAACTGCAGATATATTTTCTTTGTTTTACTCTTTCCCCAGTTCCTCTCCTCTAAAATCATGTTGTTTTTTTGGTTTTTTTCCTCCTTTAGAAATTATTCCCATTGGTATTAAAGGAAAGACATTCCAACTAATTTCTATCATGTTCTGTGAAAGGAATGAAACCTGACAAATGAAGGCATAAAATGGCTCACTTGCACAGACAGCACACATTTTCACTATGTACAAATACACTGGGCCACCCACACATTCATTTCTCAGCCAGATTTACAAAGAGATTCTTCCTAAAGATCAGATTGTCTCTGTGGAAGCCTATCTCTTGAGATTTCCTAATCATATTCCTTTGACTAAGCCAAACTCCTAGAGGCAGTTTGACAACTAATGGAGGAATGAAGTCATCAGATTGATCTGATTAATTTTTTTTTTTAGCCATGGTTACTGCAGTAGAGTCAGGTTTCAGTTCTGAGAAGGGGCTTCAGAACTTGCACTTCTATTTTTGATCTTGTTACTTAAGGGAAAAAAAGGGATCAGGTAGGTGGTAAATTTCAGAGAGAATAATGTAAGATTTTTGGCAAGGGAAGAAAAGAGTAGCCATGAGGTAAAGGCCTGAATTGAGGGCTTCCCAGGACTGAAGACATGGCTGCCTCACTCACTCTTCCCAACCTTTGAATTAAAGTGGAGAAAACTTTAACGGGCAGTGCTTGTTCTCAAAACAAAACCGAACTGCTTGTAGTTCCTTAGTTTGCATTACACTTCCAATTAAGATGTAAGACTTGAAGTGTAATTGTAGATACTGGTACACCAGCACATTTCATGGAACACAAGAAAACAGATGACTAAACAATGAAATCAGAACAGTATGAATAAAGATAAAACTTGCACAAAGATTCATGTAATCACAGACAAGGGAAAAACCATAAATACCATATTTCCTCTGTTATTATATATATAATTTTCCAAGACAACAAAAACCCAGGGTCACAAAAATAATGTTTAGATCCTTTAACTGGCATAAATATTTGTCCTGTGTTTTCTTGACTAGTCTCCATAAATTTTTATAAAAACACTGGTTTTTTGAGGTTATTGACTTCAACTGGAATTTCATCAAGTCCAAGATGTAATACTGTCATACCTCATTAACAATGAATTCACATCAGACACCAACAAAAATACTCCTGCACTATTTGTACAGCAACAAATTGAAGAAAGGGGAGGGAAGAAAAGAAAGTGGTTCTGGGAAGATAAAAGAAACACATGATAAAAAACAAATTTTCATTTAGAACATAAAAATATCACTCTTTCATGTTCCCCACCACTAAATTGTAGGAATCCCAAATATGTCTTTATCTCCAATGCAATTCTGCGAAGTGGAATGGAAAAGGACTTCAGATGCTTTTTCCATGATGTAAGGGTATAATTTTATGCTGCCAAGTGGGAATTTTAGGACTGAAAAAGAATGCACGGATGTTTGATGTAGCATGTCAGCATCAACAATCTGTCTTATATGTAAACCAATTAGCAGCTTCTCCTCTTGGCAATACAGTAATGTACATGCAAAATAGGAAGAGAACTGATGAGTTTGTGGTTGTTGTGGGGCTAACTCCAAATCCCATGATAGGCAATGGGTAGGTTCCCCCAAACAACACTTTATAAAAAATTCTGAGCTGCTGCTTAGCTGTGGGTGAAATGCAGCACTACAAGAAATGCCAATCAGAACACATCAGATTTATGTGCCTACAACACAGGCAGCAGACTGGAAGCATTATGCAGATGCTACATGTTGCTCTGCTCTCCACAGAGCCCTTGTTTTGGATAAAAGTTTTGCAGACAGTCAACATTCGCTGTTTAGAAGCAATGAGAGAAAGTTCCTTACAGTATATCCTAGGGGGAAGCAGAGGCAAAGCAGGTTATCCACAAAACCTGAGTGAGATTACTCTAAATAATACATTTTTATTTGGTCTTTATAGTGAGGTTAGTATTCTGGACTTTGGACAAAGGGCAATGATCTCTATGTAATAACTTAATTTTGCTGAGACACTTTGGGATAACCTGAACTGGCTCAGAAAGTATATGAGATCAGTCCATGTGACAGAAAAATCGGGACTTTGTGGACATGAACAAACTGTCATGAATGGATGGCAGTTTATTATTTTAAGCATTTGAGACTGAGGAGTGGCTATGATATTCCTAAGTATCCTACACATAGACAAAACCCTCCCCTCTAACCAAAAGATAGATTCAGAGACAGGTATTTTGTCAGAGGGGATGGAAATGTCCATATCCCAGTAGTAGCATTAAAATCACCTTTGCATGTCATGCTTGTTTGTTTGTTTGTTTGCTGGTGAGTTTTTCTTGTTGGTAGTGCTTCAGAGGTTTAGAGGGTTTCCATGTTTGGGTTTTCAGGCTACTTTTTGTTTTGGCTTTGATTTTTTGGGTTTTTTTAGGAGATATATGTTTGAATCCACCTCTGCAAAGCATTAAAGCATGTGCCTAATCTTTGTGAAGAAAGGCAGGTTTAAACTCATGCTTAAATAGCTGGATGAATTATAGCCAAAGCATGTAAATTAATTCTGCTTGTTCCATTCAGTCTATACTAGAACAGGTACTCTGTATTAACCAAGCTAACAAAGAGGTTTCTCAAGAGGGATTTCAACCCCTTTCCCTACAGTGTGCTGACATCTAGTGGCCTCAAGTCTCCAGGGTCAAAACATGAACTAATTTTTCATCCAAGCCTTTCTTAGATAAAAACAACCTCCTTAACATCAGCGAGTGGTTCTTGTCCTCTATTTTCTTTAATGTCTTCCCAGGTTTTGAAAAGACGAAAGTATCTTTTCCAAGCTGGGAAAAAAAGATTCAACTTCTTCAATTTCATTATTTGAAGCAGAAGTAATCATTAGTGTAGAAAAGCTGAACTATAAAAGGACATTACTGATGGCTGTATTCTTCTGTTTTGTGACAACAAAATATGCATAAACAATATAAATTTGATAATAATATATATATGTATCAGTAACTGCCAGGAAATCAAGGTTTGGACCCTAATCTGTCTCTGCCAAAGTCACTGACAGCTTTTATGATATCCTCAGTTTATTGCAGCTATAAAATAGGAAACTGAATTCTGTTTTCATTTATGACCTCACTTATATTTCCATAGTGATGTAATCACCTGTATGGACATGAAAACAGAACACAGCCTGGTATTTCTGGCATACTCACAGGATTTCATTCCAAGTGAGGAGATTCAATTTTTCAAGACAACTGTTTGAATCTCAAACAGAAAGTTCATCAGTTGTCACTTGGTAATACAGAATCACTGAGGACATTAGAAGGGGTGTCTGGCAGGCATTTAGTCCCAACTCTCCCAGCTTCAGAGACAAGTCACATTACTCAGGTCATCGCCCAGGAAGATTTTTAGTATCTCCTGAGATGAAGATCCAATGATTGCTGTGGGCATACATCTTCTAAATGATACCATTTTGCACAATAAAAAAGATGCTGCATTCCATACTGCAGAATGGATCCACCTGAGCAGAGTACAGCATGACGACTCTTCTGAAGTGTGCTGTCACACTCAGCTCAAGCAGATGATTTTTGTCTACAAAGCACCATTTAATTTGGAGTTTTATTGCTAACATCAGTTAGGAAAAGGCAAATGACCATTATGCAACACAGCTCTCAGAAAAAGGCAGATCACATTTGTACATTTCACAGCCCTGAGGGTTTTGCGTAAGATTGTGTCAATGCTCTTTACTAACATTACCAAGGTTTCTCTTACAATACTAACAAACAGTCCAGGGAAGAGATTGTTTCTTAGGGGCAGATGTTTGGATGAAACATCCTTATTGTTTTCACTATGGGCTTTTTATTTGTCTTACCAAGATTAAATAAATCCACTTTATATAAGTAGTCAGTTTAAGTGTGTGTCACTGAACATCCATTTAACTAAAATGTGAGTTCTCTTCTACATTTGTGAAGCAGAACACCGACACCCCCACATACATCAAACTCTATCTTAGCCAGTTAATAACATCCATGACCAACTTAGCTATGTTGTAATCCAGCAACAGAAAATAAGTGTTTGGCAGATACCAAAAAACCTACAGTACCTTGAACACAAGTTTATCTCCACCCAGCCCAGCTTCCAGGAGATGTGAAGCAGAAGTCCACCCACCAATGTCTGCCACCTGAAACAGAATGACACTGGGCAATAATATGTGAGCCCTTGGGAATATGTGCAGATAACTTAAAATAAGTAGCAAGTAATGAATACTGATTTCTTTTACATTTTATCACTTTCTTTAACACTTTATAAGTTATCAGCTTTCTTCTTCCTTAAGCTAGTGGTTTTCAGAGAGTGTTCCATGTTCCTTGGGTGAATATCCTTGAATATCTAGCACAGTTCAGACAGAGATACTGTATTATAATGTTAATGCCATTTAACATCCATAACAGGTATAGAAGTGGGATTATTTATTATTCCCATTCATTGCAATGCATTTAAGCAATTATTTAAAATCTTTCTCACACATACACAAATAAACAAATATTCACTCTATGCAGTACTAGTGCATAGTGGTAAATATTTAATGCTACTACCACAGCTCACTTCATCTTTTTTTGGATGAAGAGCCTATGAGAGCTTAAAAGCCAGGTTTCCCTGACATTTGCTGCAGGTTTGACTGTGCTCTATCCAAGCCAGTGGTGAAATCCCATCAGCTTTATTGTGAAAAATTTCCTCTTGTCTCAGGTTTTAAGGACAGAAGTTTGTGACAGTTTCAGATGCTTAGGACTATGCAGTATAGTCTAAGATTATTCAGGGAACAAAACCAAGGACTATGAACAGTAACATCACGAACTGAGAATTACATTCTTTTCCTCTTTGCTCATCTGTCACAGGTCTAAATGAAAGTGTATCTGAGCCACAAAAAATTTCAAGGAAAGGTCATTTTTAAAAGGCAGAGTTTATGGAAATATATTAAGATGCTGAAATGCCTTTCCAAATAATAGAAAAAGGAAATAACTGTAGCAACACAGATGCCATAAGGCAGTTGCTTGCCATTGAAGTACACTTTTCTGTTGATTTACCACATGTATTTTACACAAGTTACTCAAAGCCCTCTCCCCATAAGATAAAAGCCTTATGCAAGAGACAGTCTCTGTTTGTGTCAAAACTAAGGAAGCATTCACTGTATATCTAATTTAGCTGAATACATTCAAAGTAAGTGGAGATTCCCAAGGTAATTATTCCTAGAGCTGATTGCAGTCCTGGGACTGCAAGTCTGGCAAAAATATAAGCCATGCTAAGCAGCAGAAGAGGAAGTAAAGATATCCAGTGTCAACAGGTTTTAACACCATCTCAAAAACAGGGGAAAACTTGGCTCTAAGAGGCCAGATTTTCATTAAATGTCTAATCAACAGCATTGATGGTATATATGGACATTATCAAAACATTAATTTTCTCATTACAGCCATTAAGATACAATTGTGACTCGTGATGCAGACTTACAACCAAGGCTAAGCATGAAAAGAAGGAACATAGTATTTGTGAATGCCTAAAGATGGTTTTAAGGTTGGTTTTCTCTAGCATAGCAAAAGATTGCACCATAAATACACATTTTCCACATTTTCCTCTCTTCCAAAGAAGAGAGGTTGTACTGTAATTGTTATTTTTCTATGATGAAGCTTAGGATTTTAAGGAAAATGAGAAATTATGGACTCTACGTATCTCAATTACATCCCCTCCATGATGTTTAAAAATTAACCAAGACACATTAATGAATGCTTTATTAAGGGTTCATGAAGCATATTCTCTAGACAGCAAAAGCCAATAAGAACAAGAAGTAGTAAAGTTAGCTTCAGCATGTAACAGCAAGATGTTAAAGTCATTTTTCAAACCACTATTCTTAAAACCATACTTACCCTTGAAAAAGGGTAGGGTAGGTAAATTGCAGGACAGACAGGACATACTGGAAAACAAATAGCAAATTAATGGACAACAAACACCTACAGTTCATAATATTAATACACAATCACAAGCAACAAAACAAACACAAAAAAGTTTTCATTTTGCTTTGTTTTGGTAGAAAAGAGAAAAAAAAATGTTTAGCAATTTCACTTGTTGGGGTGTATTTCCTCCCCCTTCCCTCACAGGGCTGCACTTTGTTCTCTGAAATGCTTTATAGGCCTCAATCTCAATGAACAGCATCTGGGCTAAGTTCCACTTGAGCTCATCAGAAACGCTGTCGGCTCTCAGGAACTTAATGCTGTCCAGCAAGCTCCTGCTTTTTAACAAACAACCTTGGAGATTAATTTTTCTTGCCTGTGTAAGAACCCAAGTGAAATGACATTTTTGTTATTGAACTTTCAAAGAAAGTTACCAACTGGCATTGAGGCCAGGAAGGAAAATCACTCTGGTCTAAACCCAATCTCTTGTTTCCCTATAAACAGCAGTCCTGAGTGAGACCCTTTAAGCTCTCCTGGACCACAGCAGGATGCAACCAGCAACCTCTCTCTGAGTGGGACACCCCTCAGAGCCAGCTAGCTTGCTACACTTGGAAGATCTCTGAAGGATGACGATGGATCCTGGGCTGATACCATCCACTCCTCAAGACACAACCCTTTGCCTGTGAAGAAGATGCAAGGACATCCAAAGTGAGCACTTCACGAAATTTGAGGGGAATTTTTCCTTGTACATGTTCCTTTAGGTCTGACTGTGTGTTAATGTGGATATGCTGTAGCAAATTCATTATTATGCTTCACGGAATTTGAGGGGAATTTTTCCTGGGTATACCTTGTACATGTTCCTTTAGGTCTGACTGTGTGTTAATGTGGATATGCTGTAGCAAATTCATTATGAATATTGTTGTCTTTGATTATTAAGTATATTAGGTTTGTAAGTAAGATGGTGAGTCACTATTGTGCCTATATTAAATTCTACATGACTCTTTTGTTAAGTTGTTTAAATTAAGCTTTTGATTAAGAGCTGCTATGTTTAAGTTCTGTTATAACCTTTAGACTAAATCATTCATTAAATCTGGGGTTAAATTTGGCTAACGGGTCCACTATGAATGCTGTAACTCACTGTATTCCCTTTTATCCTTGCCCTTTCCTGTTCTTACTTCCATGTATATAATTTTAGATTGATTGATTTTTAGATTGATTGATTTAGTTTGATTTTTCTCTCTCTGGTTTAAGCATCTAATAATGATGTCATAGATGTAATGATGTAGTAATGCAATAATTATGTAATAATGTAATAATGTAGTATTGATGGCAGTAGAATGAACCTCACCAACAAATTTTATTATGATTTCACTTTAATATTAAATCTGCTTTTGCCCATGCCTTTGCTGGTGATTCTCTGAGTGACCTAAACAACTCATTCATGACACTTCCTACACCAGAACTGCTGGATGCTGCCTCAACCACTGTGGAAAGGAACAGACACTAAAGCACATGAGGCATGGAGTGGACACACTGAGAAATGGAGAAGGCTGTCATCTGAATTGCACTTTCACTTTCCGAACACAGTCCATATATCACACTGAATGGACAAGTATTAACAGGAACAAAAAGCTGTGAATACCAGTCAATTAAAATCATATCATACCAAACAGGCAATCTTTGGCAGAACCAAGAGCAATAATCTAAACATAATTGTCTCCTTATGGCTAATGTATCTTACATTCTGCTTACACATTGTGTAAAATATTAAGCAGCCCATAAAGCCCATCAGAGATGTAATACATGGGGGTAAAAAGCAAAATCTGTGTCATTGCTTTAGCCTGCTTTGTCTGGGCCTGCATGTATGAATGCTAGTGCCTCTTCACACTAAATATGTATATATGCAAATGTGAGGCACAAATACATGCCTTCCAGGTCTAACAACTTGCCATGATGCAGTATATAAATACCACTTCTGCAAAGGAGAAGAATGATTGAAGCTTCCTCAGAGGAAATGAAAGGTACCTGCTGTTCCTTCCAGGAGCCAGCAGAAGCTGTCATAGACAAAAGGAGAAGCTGAAAGCTTTCAGCAGAGAGAAAACTGTGCTGGGCACCTTGCAAGGTCCAGTTTTCAGTTTGTGGGGTGTCCCTAAGAAGCTGGCATCAGTATACAGAGACAAGTTGATTCACAACAGGTCCTTTTACGCATACAGCTGTCAGAAATGCCAAGTGCATTTTAAATCAGGAAAATCTACCTACACATCTGCGTCCCTGCTTGCATTTGCACACCACCTTCAACAACTGAAAGGTCTATATTCTGGTTATTTTTAACTTTATTGCACTAAAATCTACATGAAGGTTTGAAAATGGAGGCCCTATGTCAATGTCCCTATGACCTCCTGTCAAGCACAGTTAAGCCAAATAAATACCCTTCCCAATCCATGATGCAACCTGGCAGCTCTTTTGGCCCCTTTCTGTTAAACTAGTCACTGCTCCCAGTGATTTGCAGTCTGCCAAATCAAGTGCATTATCTCTCCCTACAACTTTGCTTCCCGTCTGGACTTCAGTCTACTTCTGGGCATCCTTAATGGCAAATGTATCTTGGAACACAAACCACTGGCCAATGCCCAGAAAGATTTCATTTTCATGTCTGAAATGCTGCTTTTCTCTAATCTTCCCTCAGAATATTCATACCCTGATTGCTTCACCAATACTTTTTTCCTTTCAGAAATCTGTACCAGAAAGAGAGACATGCTCTCTGACAAACAGGATAGCATGGAGCAGTTACTCTAACTCCTCCTCCCAGAGTGAAAAAGCTACTTTCAAACTACACTTAAATGATAGAATTTTATTCACAATGTGGCCATCTTCAGCCTACTTCTTCTGCTTAGACACTTGAGCAACACTCATAAGAAATTGTTACACAGTGGAAAACAAAATTCTTGAACTTAATTTGGTGATTAATTAAGTTGTCAAAGCAACAAAGTTGCTTTGTTTGCTATTTGTTTCACTTCTAAATTAACAGTTTGGATATTTCACATTTTTCCCTTGCATAGTTGATATCATTGTTCCAGTTAACAGGAGTTTTGGAAATGAGTGCAGTTGCCATACACCCAATAATGAAATATATACAGCATCAGCGATACATTCATTGCGGCATAACTTCTGGCTCTATAACACTTCATTCATTGGAACGATATGATGTCAACCTCCTTGCTCTCCTAAACGAGACAATAATGGAACTCATTCGTCGTGGAAGGGTAAAACTGTCCCACACTGAGCAAAACGAAACCGGCACCCTATCCGCAGTTTCCAGGAGCACACTGGGATGGGCGGCCGGCTGGAGTGCCACGGACTTTTTCACTCGTGGGATAGTCCCGTCCGGGAAGGGCTGGTCCTCCGGCTCTCCCTGAGCAGGGCAGGCAAAGCAGAGGGCACCGTCCCTGGTCTTTCTCCTCCTCCCGCTCCAGGATCCCTGCACTTCCCTGGCCCCCCGCTCTCGCAGCCGCGGACCGGCAGCCAGCGCCCCCGCACCTCCCCGCGCCCCGCCCGGCCCGCCCGAGACCGGGGCGGCCCCGCGCCCGCGCTCACCTTGTTGGTGAAGCTGGAGGCCAGGTAGAAGAGGCAGAAGGCGAGGCCGCCCGCCGGCCTCTTCAAATACATCAGTCAGCGCGGGCGCGGCGGGCGGCGGCCATCGGCCGGGCCAGGGACACGTCGCCTCAGCGGGCGCCGCCTCTGCGGGGCCGCTGCTGCCGCCCGGCGGCCGGGCCG